CACTGCGTCAGTGTGGCCGCCCCTGACCTCTGACCTCCTCTGGCCCTCCCCAGCCTCCCTCTGGGCCCGGGGGTGCCCTGCTGCCCACAGCACCCAGCACCAGCCTCCTCCTCGCCCAGGGCTCCCGGCCAGACCCCCTCCCGCCCCTCCCCCGGGCTCCCCGGATGCCCCGGCCCTGGGGCCTGCGCGTGGCTGTTCCTGGGGCCTGTGCCAGCCCCTTAGGAACCCAACGAAAACAGGCTGATTAATCACGTTTCCTCCAAGCGGCCAGGAACGGGCTGGGCTGCCCCGCGAGCTCGTGGCCTTAAAAGGAGAAGAGCCTTCTGCTCGCCCGGGCTGGGCTTCTGGGAGCTCCTCTGAGAGGCAGCCCGGCCAGCGGCTCTGCTCCCAGAACTGGGGTGCACCTGGGGGCCCCCAGGTCATTCTCTGCCTGGCCCTGCTCTAGGCTCACTGGCTAGTCATCCCTGTGGGAGGAAGGGCTTCCGTTAGAAACAACCAAGGGTGTCCCCAGGGCACCGGCCTCGGCCCGAGGGAGCTGTAGGTGGGGACGCGAGGGGAGTGGAGGACGGCCCCTGAGAACCCTGACCACTTGTGGCCGGGCACCTGCCTGACTTCCCGTCTCCTCCAGGCCCCACGGCCACGTGCGTGGCTCCGGGCCGTCCCTGGCTGGGGTCCACCCGAAGTGATGGGAGAGCAGCCGCCCGTCCTGGGCCTCCCAGCCGCTCCCTCTGCCCTCTCAGCGGGCGGGGCAGTGCCCTGCCCCCTGCACCTCAGGGCTCGCCCAGCGGGCCATGACTCATGGGGAGCGTTCGGCGAAGCCCCATTTTTGGAGAAACTGGGAAATCTCTGCAGAAACAAACAAGCCACTTCGGCTCTGCCCTGGGACGGCCTGCTCCCTGCTCCTCGCTGCCCAGCAGGTCTACAGCGCCTGACGACCCTCCAAAACGTGGCTGCTGGTCCCTGGGGGTGTGGGGGGGCGTCCACGCGGGCCTGGGCCCCACCGCCTCCCGCTGCT